TAGAGAGGGCCTTTATGTTGAACACAGCCAACAATTGTCATATCCCTTTAAATTGGAATTTTATAAGACTATTATTGAGACAATTGGGGAAACTTGAAAATGTACTGAATATTAGATATTGTATTGTATCAAGTTTAAGTTCCTGAGTGAGATAATTATATTGTGGTCATATAAGAGAATGGCCTTGTTCTTAGAAGACATATGCTGAAGTATTTAGTGGTGAAGTTTCATGATGTCTACAAACAACTTTTGAATGATTCAGAAAATAATATACACATTTCTCTCTATATCTACATTTTTATCTTCTTATCCATATATGAAATGTGAATATATACCTATTTGGAAAAATATACTCTGTCTATATACATGTGTGTATGTGCATATATATATATATATATATATATATGCACATACATACATACACATACATATAGAGTATACCAATGTCTATTGTACTGTTCTTGTAACTTTCTAAAGGTTTGATGTTTTACAAAATGAAATATTTGTGGGAATCCCCCTTAACATATCTGTTCTTCAAAATCTGCATTGCTTGCCCACTACCAGGGATCTCTCTTTAATATTCCTTCACCACTATTGCCCACTGTAGATGGCTCTGGAGTTTTCCACAAGATTACTTTCTGTCTTCCACTAAAAATATGTTTCCTCTCTATTTGTACAAAGCATTTACCTCTGCTTGATTTCTACACCCAAACTCACAATTCTATACCCATCAAAAGTTTCAATGAAATCTTGGGGACTCCATTTGAGAAGGCCTACCCTCCTGAAAAGACAATCTGGTGACCATCATGTGCAACTGAGCATGTGTTTTGAGATATCCCTACTCCAGGTAGCTATTACTATATATGTATAGCAAATACTACTATTTGGTAATATTTCTACCAAACAGTACTTCACAAGACTTTGGGGAATTGAATTTTCTTTATCTCATTTCACAACCAGAGGACTCCAACATAGCATTAAATTAGAAAGATTGCTGCACCTGAAGCTAAATTTGAAGCCTACTTCCTAATTCCCAGCTTTCGAAAAGTACTTAAAAAGAATTTCACACAGAAGTGCAAAACTTTTAGAAATGTCACAAAGAATAGCCAGGATCTTTCATGGTAAGGACTATAAGAAGGATCCTAGTAGTTGAAAGATTAACTATTGTTTTTGAAAGCCCCAATTATTGTTAAATTTTTATATTGAAGGCATGAGGAGTGATTGTCCTGTTCTGGAACTGTAAGTACAGGGCAACATACCTTATACTAATTGTAAGTAGATTGCTAAGATAAATGAGGAAGAGATGCTGATGGCTAAGCATAAGAAAACAGAGCTTGATGTGTAATTACTAAACTTTGAGACAGGATATCTGGGTTTGCCTCTGATGTCCCTATAACTCCTTTTCTCCTTTGTCTACACTTCTGGACAACTTTTTTTTTTTCCCCACCAGTAAGTCTTGTGTTGAACTGTCTGTATAAAGAACCCAGAATGGCATCCTTCACCTATATGTACCTTCTACACCTCTGTTCTCTCTTTCCCCATTGTCTTCTCAGCTACGAATGATACCCCAGTGCAGTTTTTTACCATTTACAAAGCTCTTTCACCCAATTCTCTCGATAATTCAAAATGTATTTTATTAAACCCTTTTACAGTTGAAGAAACTGAAGTTCAAAGAGGTTAAGAGATTATCCAAGGTCACACATCTATTAAATGGCAAAGCCAGAAATTCAACCTTGTGATTTTAAACCTAGCATTTTTTTTCACACCTCAGATAAAATTCCAATTTCAGTGATCTAAGTTAAAGTATCCTTTGACAATCTGCTAGAAATATGGGAAATTCCATGAATTCAGCATGAATATCATAATGAAAACAAAAGAGATATCAAATATTCATTTGTCTATTTTCTTCCTTTTTCTCTTAACTTTCTCTTCCTTATCTTCCCACTAGAATGATGATCTTTTCACAAACCCTCTCCTACTACCTTCTTTCCCCTAATACACACTTTGTTCTCCCACCACTTCATGAGGGACCCACATCCCACTCAGACCTGCTTCTCAACAGCAAAACTAGGTTAGGGGATGCTATTAATTAAGAAAAAATACTTTATTCACATAACGATATGTGAATGAGAGACATTAGCATTTTTAAAGCAAGGTTTGTATAATGGTTTCACGTTCAGCTCATAAACAGCTGTATAAGAAACAGCAACTTTATGTTCCTCTTATTTTTTATTTAGTGCTGCTCCCCTCCAAGTGGTAAAAATTCAAATTTAGTCAATACATACCCAAGGGACATATCAAAATTCCAGTGTGCTTGTGAAGTGTCAAAGCATTAGGAGATGGGACATCTCACCCTTGACTGACTGTATCACCTTGGATTCCATTTAGTTATCCATCCTGTTTCATACTTGCTTACTGAACATGCAGGTGATTGCTGCATCTTCCCCATGATCCTATTAAAAAGTCCCTGCAGGTTTAACAACTATCCTTTCAACTTCTATGCAGACTCTAGGGTACACAAAAAGTCATTCCACTGCCAGACTGTGTCATAGAAGCTCTGGGGTACTACCTAAGATCCCTTTGACTCCTGTGGCACTCTCAGGCCACAGAACCATCTGTCTGCTTCCAAGCACATTGTGACACCTGGACTCTGTAAGCCATCCCAGACTCTTACCTAACTCAGAGCCCTTAAGTCTCTGAGATTTGGGTCTCCTTGGGTCTCTATTAAGAACACATCTAGGTTGCCCCTCCTTTCGGTTCCCACAAACTTACCTGGCATTTCTGTCATTTCACTCCTCCACTGGGGCAAGATCAATCCCCTTGTCAGTGACCCACCAAGGTAAATTCGCCTCTCCTTCCGTTTGCCATCTGGACTTTCTCCTTTCCTCTCAACCCAGAGAATCTTCAGTCTGAAGTTAGGAAGCTTTTCTCTGATTCATAGTGCATTTTTCTACTTGATTGCTTATGCTCTGAGTCCTCGCAGGGTTTATGACGTTTCAATGAGATAACATAAAAGTGTTAGTCACTTTTTTTTATGAGTTAAAGTTGGCAATCATAGAATGTTTAAGCCACAAAGACTTTTTAATCCAGAACAGTTTGTGAAAATAATTTTCTATTAAAAAGATATTTTCTAAATCTGTCATATTTCTGGTTATGAATGGAAACTTATTTTCACAGTTACCATGGCTTTTATTTCAAATAGCTAGAGTATAGGTTTGCTTTCTTGTCTATAGGTTCGTTTTCCTTTGTCATTGGGTCTGAAATAGAATCACAAAATGTACAATTTTGTAATAATTTCTTTTAAGTATTCATTTTCCTTTTCAATTTAATTTCTCTTTCTGAAAACAATTGGGAAAATTTTGTTAAGCACTTTTTATGCACAGATATGGGGAGAATGTAAAGAATACTCAAACTCCTCAAGCAGATTGTGATCTTTTCAGGAAACAAAATCTAGACATAAATGAAATGTTAAATGGCAAGATAAGAGCGTGAGTGAAAAATGTGCTGTTAGACAGTTATTCCAAGTGGTCTGAAGTTTTTATTACGATCTGTAGGAAACTAGACTTTTGAGAAATTTTTGAATCTTAAGGGTTATGTTATTTTTTCATTTTTTTAATAGAATAAAGTCAATTAACAGACTAAGTAAAGAAATCAGGTGAAAAAACATTTTTGTATAATTCAAGAAGCCAGAGTTCTAAACCTACCTTTGTCATTTTATGCTGTGTAAACTCTGTATGTGTGTGTGTGTGTGTGTGTGTGTGTGTGTGTGTGTGTGTGTGTGTGTGTGTGTGTGTGTGTGTGTGTGTACATGAGTATATCCACACCTGCCTTTTTGAGTATTTTGGGTTGGAGGAGGGAAGAGAGAAATTAAGGAGAAGAAACGAGAGCAGAAGCCAGCCACCCACTTTTACAGCTGTCTAATATCTGCATGTCAAATAGGAAAAAATTCACAGCTGTCACAAATGTGATAGCGCTATTGAAAGTGCATGAAGTTATGGAACTACATCTGTACTCACCAGCTGGTAAAATCTACAGTAGTAACTTTTCTATATGTGTTTCTGTCAATTTATTCATACAGTAAATATTTATGAAGCCCCTACCATGTGGGTGCTCAGGATTCAGAAAGAACCTTCATAGACATAGATTCTGCCTTCATGAAGCATACAAGCTGATTGGGTGGCAGACATTAAAAATTACTCAGACTTCTAATTATAAAATAGGAAGGAATGGGATGTAGAGCTATAAAAGCTATAATGAGGAGCGCATCTGCTTTGGGGACTCAAGGACAGCTTCCCCGAGGTGAGGAAGTGACATTTGAACTGAGCTCTGAAAGATGAGTGGGAATTAATAAGTTGAAGGGAGGAGGGAGCATCACATTTGAGGAACTAAAAGAAAATTGGAGTACAGTGCAGGAGGCATGAGATGGGACTGGAGAGGTTGACAA